GTAAATTTCTAACCGGGAAAATAAATACCCACTCTGACCCAAGACCCCTGTTACGCGCCTGGTGTTAGCGCCAATGTGTGCCCTTGTGGGGACAGGGGATGTGCACCCTCTGAAGCTGGAAACCTTGTTTGCAAAATAAATTTATGCAATTTGCTATTATAGGCCTAATCAATAAATTCCTCATCAACCGATATAACCTTAAACATTCTTGGAATTGACATAACATTACTGATGTCGTACACACCCTTCAGTGTGAAATGTGGCTCTCTTTGCAAGCACATCTAACATCTAAGGAAAGAAGAGCTTAGATTGGTACCAGATAAAACAATTTTGTCATCAACATTAATACATTATGCTAATTTTCATCTTTGTAAGCGCATAAAAGACAGTGCAAATTATTTCTGTGACAGTCTTTTGAAATGTGTAAAGCTCCATATTATCCCATACATAGTCAAAATATTGGGGAGTGGGATTGATACAATGGACCATCCCCCCACCCCTTGTCAAATATTTGGGGGGGTATATATCCCCATCCCCCACCCCCACCGGGATATACGCCTATGTTGATATCGCTTTCCTACTGTCAACAGTATTTCAAGATAATGAAAACCTGTTGTCACCAAAGACAAAAAAACGAATTTGTTAATGTATACTTAGCTAATAAACCCGCAGTTTTGGGTTATAAGAAGCATAATCTACCAAGAAATAACCTGGTTCCTTTCGTGAAATTGACATCAATAAACAAACAATTCTCGGGAACATACTACTCGCCTATTCACCCCCTCAAATTCACACTCAAGTAGTTAAAAATCGCTTCAAATCACCTTATTTTGTGAGCTAGGGGCCCCTCCCCTAATCATCGAGGCCCCCCTCCAATTCACCTTTTCACCCCTCATCATCCCCTCCAATTCACCTTCGCACCCCTCATCATCCCCCTCCTTTCAATTGTGCTTATCATTAATGAATCTCGAACAAAAGCGCCTCAATATACCGCGAAATAGTATTTATTTATTACAAATTTAGACAATTATTCTATAAGAAGTTGGAGATTTTTCATAGGTCGTTTTGATTTGTTGACTTGCTGATGGATAGTGAAGATACCTTCTAAATGCAATCAAAGTGGGTTGGTCTCAAAGTATCTGTTAATAGAAATGGCATATAGGTCACAAAATTGTTTTAGCATTCGGTGTTAATATTGCATGGGGGGTGCCATTTCTACTGTAGATGCCAGTACTGGAGACCCATCAAAATTATCTATATGTCTATCTCCTCCTCTTGGGTGTTGAGAACCATTGGTGCAGATAAGTCAGCTTTACAACAGTGATGCCATCTTTATCATAAACACAGATACAAATTGTCTTTTCCAGTACTGACAAAAAAACTACACTATGCTTACTATTTACAACATCAGCATCATCATTGTCATAATTTTTAAACCAAAGATCACAATACAATGTCCTGTACAAGTTTATGTTAATTTATTAATTCAATTTTTCTTTTTCGTATACAGTACCTAAAATGACAAAGTATTGAAGACTAAGCGAGTTTCTAACTCTGGTGTTTATTTTTACAGATTCTGTCTGGGTAGAAGCAGTTGGCGCAACGGTTGTAGCTCGGACTCTCAGCCTTGAGGTCAGGGGTTTGAAACCCTCACTGTGCAAGTCGCTTGTGTTCTTAGGCAAGACACTTTATCTACGTTTGTCTCTCTCCACCCAGGTGTATAAATGGGTACCGGCATATGCTGGGAAGGTAAAACAGACTGCAGTGCGGGAGGAGTGGCGAACCCCCCACAGCCTTGCACAGTCTGGCTCAAACGCTAAAGTAAGAGAGACGGGCACTCTGACCTGCTTCAGGTTTTGAACCTTTACCTTTTTTTTACAGATTCTATTATGTCATCATATGAATGAAAATAATGATCTAGCATGGAGATGAATTAATGGAATTTATAGATTCTATAGAAATCAAGACAAAATAAAATTTACAATTTGGAATATGATCACTTGAGGCCTATCTAGAATGTCAAGATATCCCTGGTCAATGGTGTAGCAAAGGCACAAATGTAGGTCTCTAGATTATAGATTAGACCTCCACCAAGCAAATTAACTAGGAATGGTGATTGATTTTTAAAGCAAAGTTGTAAATCATACACTAGATGATATTTTTTCAGGTTCAAAAATATTTTCATGAGCTAATCTTGCCCTTGTGCAGTGATTTCTATCTAGCAGGTTTTACAGCTATACTTTCTAACTGATGCACATTTCTACTGATGTCAAAGTACAGACTTCAGTAACATGTTGATAGGTGTCTTGTATTTTAAGTAGTGTCATAAGTTTAGCGATGTAGATTCACATATCTTCGACCTTAAGCCAGACAATGTAATGAGTAATGCCTCCTGAAAAAATGAACAAAATTTAGGTTAATAAACTATTAGTTAGTTTTATAAAATAATACAAATAAACATGTAAAAGTTGCCTGCACATACCTCTGTCCGGATTGTTCTGCTTCCTTGTTTTGGACAGGTGTTCAGGTAGTAGTCAAACAGGTGGCATGGGTCATCTACATTCAGGTCTGAGTCTACATCAAGGGCAGATTCCAGGCCCTTCAGTCCTCCAAGAACAACAAGTAAATGACTGCAAGAAAATAAATTACACTCGTCAGAATATATGGTGCTTTCAAAATGCTACTTGAATGTGTCTTCTGAAAACATTCCATAAAAATGAAGCTATGTAAACTGATTAAAACTATTATTAATGTCAATATTACTGCTGACATAAAAAATAATAATAGCATAAAATATGATGATGACGATGACAATGACAATAATTTTTAATAATGCACTTAATAATAATAATACTATTATTGTAAACTTAGTTTGTAAATTTTTGTAGTGATATTTAGATACCATCATTGCCTTTAAAAATTGCTTTCAGTTCAGTCCTTCAAGACATGTCTCCTTTAGGTCACTATTTTCAGACACTACCCACAAAACATTGTTAAATGGCATGATCCACTTTATGACACTATTGTTTATTATTGTTATAAGCATTATATATAAAACAAAAATTAAAACATATTGGACTCACTTGAATTTTGGTAGTTTGAACTCATCTATATTTGCTCCCTTATCAGAGGTTCCTATGGTTTTGTCATAGCCATTAGGGTAGGGGCTTTGTGTAAAGACTGCCCCTAGGCTAGGGGCAAGTCTGACAGTGTACCCCCAGTAAAGGCCAGCCTCAGACCTTGGTAGTGATGGAGAAACCACTTGGCCAGAGTAATATTTCAGCTCTGCCAAAGAAAAAGAGGAAATGTTAAAACACACTATTTTAGCAAATATTTGGTGGTTAATATCATAAGCCACGTTTGCACTGGATTAATTTTGACTATAATGAAGGGCAACTCTACCTTGGTTAATTGATCTGCTGTTCACACTTAGATATAAATATGCAGTATGTTTAACATAAAAAGTGAATAAATACTTTTTATGTTAGTCAAACCTATTTTGGTTAGGTGATTTCGGCGCATGCTTGCCAAGGGTATCAGAAGATCCCTTCTACAGTTTGATTCAGTTCCTTGTTGGGAATCCTGTCTTATAATTATTTTATTTTTACGTTATTCAATGAGATCTAGTCCATGCTTTGAGTGCTTTGAGATGCTGGTGTAAGGTTCTTGAGATTCCGACCTCTATGCACGGCAAAGACTGCGTCGGCCACTGAATTCATCTTCGCACTCAGGGTGCAATTGACCATGTGATGCTGTTTGCTGACTGTTGGTTGCAGTCTCACAGAGCATCCATGTGTCATGTAAAGTTGCATTCCATGTGGAATCACATCAAGTGACAACCATTGGGACAGTGTCCAGACTTAACAACAGAGCAAACTTTCACTACTACTTACTGTCATTTTGTTCATTCTGTTTTAACTTTACAGTCACTCGGATTCCTGGACTTAATTCCTTGTCAACCCTGGCTTCCTGCAAAATACAACGCCACAATCAAAGTCAACACCACCAAAAACATTGCAAGATAGTAGTAATTGAATATAAGAATGCACTGCAAGTGTAAAAGACAACAGGCCCTGAGAAGGTTGCACCAGATTTTTTGTCATTTGGAGTACTAGTGACATTCTTATTTCAGACTAAAAAAAATTATCACTTTAACATATTCTTCTTCTTTACATTCATGGCTTGTTCAAGCCACAAATCAACAGAATTAAAAGGCATGGGCTTTCTGAAGCTATTGCTTCTGAGTCGAAATAAACATTTACACGCATAAACAAATGCTGAATGAATATTCTGTCATGCTAAATCTCATCTATACTATATAAAAAAAAAATACAGAATGTGTAGAAGCAAAACTACAACTGACCTTTAACATGCCAATGTTAACATATGATCCAGGGTGATCTTTGGAAACAGGACGCTTCACAACAACACCTTCACGGTATTTACACCATTCCTGCATCCGAAGATGATGGGGGCAGTCAAGTGGATTTAGCAAACCTATTATAATAGAGACCAAAAATTACAGTATAACACTAACTACAACTGTCAGTACTTTTATAGTGGCAAAATCCATCACACTAGCAGTGATGTTGGTGCATACAATAATGGCAAATGTGTAAATAAAATAAAAGAATTTACAAAAAAGTAATCTTTCACAAGGAAATGATGACGACTTATGAAACTTTTGTTCGGAAATTTGTTTCTATCCAAGTAGTGGTTGTGATTGTGAAAAAGTTATAATTTTCTAGAATATCACTTACCTGCATACTGTAGGTCTACATGTTTCGGGAAAAAATGTTTCCGTAAATATCTAAAAAAATTGTAAAATATGTACATTAATGCAGCTGCACATTCATGCATTCTGCTACTTTCATAACAAACTACATTATTATCAAAAATAATATTTACTACATTAAATGTGAAATTTATCTTCTTGATATGCTTTTCTTAGCTATAAAATTTATCATAATTACTTGTTATGATCTTCATTCACTCATTTACATCATTAAAATTACACACAAAGTCTTACACACATTGATATAATTTTTTTTTCCTTACTGTGGACATTCTAGGTACTGTAAGATTCTTGCTAGTTGGATGTTGGGATTGCCTTTGTTGGTAATGCCTTGAAAGGTGTCTGTATCACTAGACATAAAAAAATGAATACAAAAACCAATCAAAGCCTTTTTAGCAGTTGGCTAAACTGGTGGTAGCTACTGCATGTGCGATAACCAGTGGAAATCTTTACATGAGCTAGGTCCCAGGTTCAATTCCAATCGCTGCTTTCTTTGCATTCCATTAGGAGGGCTTGTTTCAAAAAGCACACCGTCTATCAGATGGGACATCTTTAAGCTTTCAGCCCTGTGTGTAATATGGCCCATGTGAATGCAGGGGTCCCAAGGCTTTGCAAGTCACAGGAGTCATCCAGCAATTGGGACGGACTCCTGCACAAGGAAAAGAATATAAAATGTACTCTTAATACAGATTAGCAATAGAAACTAAACTTTTGTTCCTTTTTACTAAATATAAAATAATTATAACTCACTTCATGCTGGTACCACTCTCATCAAAAACGATAACTTCATCAACATTGAATACCACTACAGCTCGAGCAATCTATACAAGATGGAAGCATTGGATACATAATTCAGAAAATAGACAGAAAAACTTTGGGGATGGGGATGTCTGCAATTTGGGAATACATTTGTGTGTGTATATGTAAATTTGATAGTTAAATCAGTGGGTGCTAATTAGAACAAATTTGTCTTATACACTAAACAGCAACAACAACAAAAATAGCAACAATAAAAACTAAGATTACAATAATACAAAATAAAAAATATACTAAAAACAGCAACAACAATAACATAAACAGTGGCAATCTATGTTTCTGCACCAAAAGTAATTTCATGGAAAAATGACAGCAGTTCGTCTGGGCAAGAGTTTCTAACACTGAGTATAAGTAGGATAAGGATAAAAAATGATGTATGCTGGGGGTACTGACGCATTTTCCTCCCCTACGATGTCAAATTAATTGCGCTATTAAAGTGGGTTAATAGAAGTTTTCACTGGAATAAAGTTTTAGTTCCACATTCTCAATCCTCAGCAGATACTAGCCTACGCCTCTGAAATATCTATCAATGATTGAGGTCACACATATTTATGCTAGTTTTTACCTGTCCGGCTAAGTAGGTCCTTAGCTCAGGAGACTGAGCATTAGAAAGAATTGATCCTGGAACAGCAACACTGACAGTCCAATCACGGCCTGGAATACAAAAGTAAAACAGTGCAAAATATACTTGGACTGCAGTGTAGTTCCAGTCAGATGATTGTCGTGATGAATGACCTTTCATCTTATGAATACTAAAGAAAAATATGCTATGGTTATATTTACAGAATGGAAAAGAGTACTTTATAACGAATTAGTTAAAAGTGTTTGTTGGTCCTGTCTCAGAGAATCAAACTTTACTCCACATACAGTAGCTGATACTTCTGAGGGTATAATGTGAACTTTATATTAATGCTTTGTTCTGTTGTGAACTAAAATAAAAGATTTTTAATTTTTTGTTTGACACTATAGCCTCAAAATAGTACACGTGTATATCTTGGTTTAGGAAATAGAAATTTGAAATTACCAAACAGAAGTTCTTTCTACATTATAAATATAGAAACATTTGGGAATATACAAATACAAATACGAATAAACTTGATTGTAATCAAATTAATGAAAATACATGATTTTGTTTTACAAATACATTTTTTTCTAAATGGAATAAAAGTACACTAAAAAACAATATCAATACAATATACTGAAGCAACAAATTATCTGAAAAGAATGTTCGACAGCGCACCGAAAGTTGACCAAATTTGAAACAAACCAGCATGAATTAAAAATGTTTTTGAGCTTAAATCAACTTTAAAAACAAGAATTGTATAAAATGTACTGTTTAAATAGTAATATCTAAAAAAATGTATTGTTTAAATAGTAATATCTAAAAGTATTGTTTACAATATAATTTTTTTGATGAATAAATGAATAAAAATGCAAACAGCAGGTATAGGGTGTAGACTTCTTACTTTGTTCCTTCTCTTCATCCTGAGGTACTTCACTTTCCTTCTTTTTTGCCTCTTCATCTTGTTTCATCTTCTTTGCAAGTTTTTCTTCTAAACGTTTCTTTTTCAATATTCTTTCTATAAAGATTAATTTAAAATACAACAGTAGTATGGCATCAGATTCAATTATTACATGATGATATGCTGTACTATAAATGGGAACACTGTAATTTTGACGTAGCGAAGTGGTAACAAACAGTGGAAAGCATAATATCACAAGACGGAACACGTTAAGAAGAAGGATACTATGGAAATATCAAAATAGTTTTTTAAATACTATACTGGACAAGTTCTTTTCTATATTAAATTTAATTAAAAAAAAAAAAAGAACAAAGGTCAATATTATATTGTTTTGTCTAACAATCTGTCCACACCATAAATTTTTCATTGACAAAAAACTGTTGTATGCCTATATATAGATATGCATATGTTCATAATGTGATGTCATCATGACCATATTTAGGCATATCACACATTCTTGAAAAATATGATTTTATAGTCCAGACAGGGCTTGAGAATACCTACTTTTTCTTTTCAATTCTGTCCATTCTTTGCCCTGTAATGTAAATAAAATAATATAAAATTACTTAATTAAATATATGTTTACAACAATAATTATCATTATTAGTATAGGATTGAACATAAAATGCACTAATTAAGCTGCAAACATTATGGACTTATTCTCAGGGTGCTGAACATATGTTCGATACCTGTACAGTATGTGTTTTGATACTATGATGGGTTAATGTGGAGCGCTAAGAGGCCCCTAGGTATGAAACGCTATATAATTGTAACATTATTATTATTAGTGAAACATTGCAGTATGATGTTGTTACATACCGTCAATTTCTTACTCTTATTTAAATCCATATTGCGCAATCTGAAATGAAAAGAAGAGTAGAATTATTACCTTTAAAACTGTACAAATAGATGTAGCTTAAAAAGCCTGTAGTTGAAAATATTCATTATTTTTATAGATCATAATTTTTTAATAATTTAGAAAAAAATGAAATGCACATTTTATTTGAAAATATACTATTTTGTAGCTTTCTATGCTCACATATTTTAATTGACTTAAATTGTGATGTTTTTGTTATAAGTTTCCAAAAATGATAAGGCACTTAAAGATTTTACTACTACTTACACACTATTGTTATACCATCATTTAGAACTTTTAATTTAATAATTTTGTACATCCAAAATGTGATAGGCTATGGCCTAATATTGACAGAGTGTGTTTTCTTCATTTTGCGTGCTCCTTATACCAAATTTGCATTGAAATGCAGACTTAAAATATAAGGCCCTGATGCAAATATTAGGCCTGAAAATCTGCCAGGCATTTTGAAAAATAAGGCCCAATTTCCACACAAATTTTGAAGAAAATATCATTGCCTAAATGTCTCTCAAAGCTAGTATTACGCAGTAACTACGACTGTGCAATTCTAGCATTTTTCCACACAAATTAAAACTTCAGTATTTAATTATGTGTCACTGGTGAATTAAAGTACTCAACAGTATGGCAAATGTAGGCCCATAGGCCTAGTCCCATTACATATGATTGTTTGGAAATCTTGGGCCTAGTCTAGGCTACTACTACTATTAGGCCTACTATGTGTTTTAAAACCTTTTTTAAGTTATGTACTATTGACTGTGTTTTAAAAATAATTATGTCAAAATAATCGTATATAGGTAGGCACTGGTCATTTGGGTTCTACTACTACTATATATTTCTACCTACATACTACCACTATTTAGGCTAGGCTCCTACTGTACTATACGGATAGACGTACCTGCTGAGGGCCAAGCTAATCTAAACTGGCATACATAGGGCCTAGGCCCTAGAGGCCTCCAGGAAAGGGTTTTAGCTAGGACTAGCTAGGCTCGGCCCTAGGCCTAGAGCATGCAGAAGGCTAGACTGGCGCCTAGCCTAGGTTTTAACTTTCTCTGGACTGCTCAAATTTTACATTTTTGTTAGTATTTTATTATTAAAAACAGAACTCCGTGAAGCCCACCTCTAACAAACTGCGATTAAATCAAACGAAAACAAACACATCTGCACATGTGAATTAATGAGCAGACGACATTTTCAACAAACCAATAGAGGGCACCATTGCTCATATCATCTTTATCAGAGTGCATTTTGATACAAGAGAAGAGGAAACGTTTTGAGAAAAATATATATATATATAAAAAGCTTCATGTCATACAAAGCTCCGGCGTACAGAGGGTCAATGTAATATTATTATAGTTGTAGTAATATAAACAATAATAACAATACTGATGATGATGATGATAATCAGCTATGAAATTGTATTTCATATTATGTAGGCCACAAATAATAATATCAAGCCATTTCCCCTTCCCCTGAATAGTTTGACATTGTATCCAGATCGCATGATATCCCTAATTGTATTACCATCCATCTTAAATTTGTATATACCACAAACAAACATTCTCTTCTCTTCATTATCTACTCCAACTGAGATGAACACGTGGACTGAACATAAATCTAAATTCAATATTTATTCCATGCTTTCTGATTTCTGCACACCCCTGTGTTACATAGGAACAGGTTGTTTGGAAAGCTTATTTTGTGTGGGCTGAAAATAGATAAATTCTGCAAATTTAAAGGTATTCTTATACCAACATATAATTTTACTTTATTTAAATTCTGCTTTTGATAATAGGTTGGAAAAATAATTTTAATGATGAACAAATACTCTGAAAATACTGGACTTGATGCACATACAGTTCGCCCTCCAATTCGAGACCACCATTGGGACCTGAAAATTTGGGGTGGTCTTGTGGTTGGTCTCCAATTAGAGGGCTAACTTTGTGTTTAAAAGGTTGAAGATTGTTATTTTGGTCTTTGGAAAAGCGGTCTCCGATTTAGGGGTCTCGGAATACGATTTAAGTACTGTGTAAATTGAGTGACATCTACAAATTTGATGTATCAGTTACTATTAATAAAATAACTAATCTTTCCAAAAAATAATCAGACATAAAACAATAGTACTGTTTTAACAACTTTATAAATTATATTCCGCATGGCAATAAACCCGCCGAAACATTCACACCATCTATTTACAATGGTGGAATCACAATCAATTAAATTTTCAATTAAATTTAAATTACATTTACAGATAATGTAATAAAATAATGAAGTGGTCCTATATTTCAGCTCTTAGCACATTCAAGTCAACATCAGGCCATCTCAATACCCAGTTTTCATTGAAACAAGAGTTTATACAAAGGCTCTATATTGCAGCTTTATTTTCCGGTCACTTTATAAGGCTCATAGAGTTTCACCTCATGGTTCATTTTGAGTCAAAATGACTAGTCGCCCAAAAAAAATGGCTATTTGTCAAAAAATTGGCCATTTCAAAGCTAACTTGAGTCAAAACATCAGGTGACCTAATGCTTCAACTTCATTAGAAACATAAGGCCAACTCAGTGTGAAACACCAGGTCAGTAAATAGTCCTATCTTTCTGACGTGGCTTAGGATTTATGTAGGCATGATGAAACTCTAGCTAATGTAGTTTTTCTCAAATATTTA